GAAAGAGAGATGATAGGGTTTATGAAGACGTGAAGGTGGGAAGTTAGACAGGGAAAGGGACGTTGTGATTGGTCGGCTAAGACAAATGGCGCCGACAATTGATTCCTTTGTCTACTCTCCCCAAGGCCCTGACCCCAGCCAGCCCAGCCTCTTCGCTTTCCTTTTTTTCCTTTTACTTTTTCCTTTTCTTTTGCGCCCTCTTTGCTTCCCTTTCTCTTTTTTTATGATTATGATTTTTTTTCTTTAGTGGGAGGTTTTGTGCTCCGTGGGAAGGATGGATGGATCATGTGCCACGTTTCAGTGTTGGATTGGTGAGTGCTAAACTGCGCCGTGGAGGTGAGGGGGTATTATAGAATTTGAAATTTCGGGGCTTGTGTGCGTGTATTGGCTGGTATTTATGGTCGTATGGACGGTGGTAAAGAAGACTAGAAAACAGACGGAGTTTTATAATCTATAGTGGTACCACGGGGTGTTCAGAGTAATGATAAAAGTTTTTTTAAAAATATATATATTAAAATATATTTTTTAATATTAATATATCAAAATAATCTAAAAATATTTAAAATTTCTAATTAAAACAGAAAATTAGTCGTACCTTTTGAGTGGAAATTTTCCTACATCTAGCCTAATTGAATGCGTTGGCGTCAAAGTCATGTGATGGATGTGGATATTTCAAAGGAGAGCAAAACCAACCATATCCTCTCGCCTCAGTATTTCAAGTGATTTTTTTTTCTTTTCAAATTTAAATATTAAAAAATTTAAATTTAATATTAAAATTAAAATTTAAGAAATATAGGGATTGTAGAGGAAGAGAAAAAATAAGAGGGTGAAAATAACTTTTCTACCTTTAAAATGATTACAGTTTTTTTTATTTTACACTTTGATCCAATTTTTTTAAAATTTTATATATTCTTAACAAATTTTGACAAATTAATTATTAATTTGAGCATAAAAAAATATAACTGGAAAAAAATAAAAATAAAAATTATTATTTTAAAACTTAAACTTACCAAAAAGGTTGTTTTGGAATTCGGGAAACCAAATCTGAGTTGAAAAAATATAAAAAAATTGATTAACTTATTAATAACCATGCCACCAACTTATTAAATTTTTTATTTTTATTAAAAAATATTATTTTAATTTTTTTAAAAATATTTTGAGTTCAATCCTTTTAACTTATGATTTTAGTTTTATTATTGATTGACCCTACCGAATCTTAAAACTATAAAAAAGAACTTCTATAGTATTTTACTAATATAGTGTCTAGTTATTTCATTCTTCATCCAGAATCAACTATGTATCTTGGATTTGAACCACTATTTATAGTAAAAATATCGATCAGACATTTCATCATAAAAAGATTTACAGCATCTCTATAATTTCTATCAATATAATTTATTTATTTTTTGTTCAGCTAATCAAACCACGAGAGAATACGTGGGCTGAATTGATTTCTCTTGAAAGAAATATAAACTTGTTCGCTAAGGATTTGCTTTATTGTTTCGTTCTCCTTTGCCTTCGGTTAAAAATAAGTATATTTGATGTTATTTTTTATGCTTCTTTTGGAATAAAGTATTTTTTAAAAAAAAAACGGTAACCATAACTTGGCTTGTATCCTAGGTCGAATCAGAAAACATGTGATATGGGCTTAACGTCGTCTTTTATTCGAGACAGAGCTTTTGATATAGTTCATCCTTCTACTAACATAAAATGTTTAATTAGGTTCCGTTATCAAATAATGTCTCATTATATCCTTGTAAAATAAATTTTTTTATTCAATCACGCCCCCCACACCCCCCTGCTAACGCCATTAAAATTTCAGGGTTGATTAATGAAATCGAAACCCGTGGAAAAAAAAAAATCAAGTCCATGCATATTCATCATTAAGTTTTAACACCGTTGATAGACAACAAGTTATTATTAAACAAAAAATTCATTATGAAATTATTAAATATAATATTATATTAATATGGAGATTTAATAAAACATTTTCTACTAATAAAATTACAAATTATATGGAAAACTCATTGAAGACGTATCGCAGTGCCTGGCTTCTTGTGGATTTGCCAGTGGAAGTGAAAACACTCCTAGTGGGCCCCGGAACAGGACAAAGAACTCCGCATACTTCAGCCCAAGAAGTAAAAAGTAAATCCATGTTTGATATTTGACATAACCGACAGGCCTTCCCAACGTTGTCTAGTTATCAAGGTGCCCTGAATGATGTTTTATTTTAGTTTTTTTAATTTTTTACTCGCTCTGCGCTTTAAATATTTCTTTATTCTTTTAGCTTTTTAGGAGTATTTGGGATTTTCCTTATAATTATTTTTTAAAAATAAAATTGTAATTATAATTATCTTTTAAAAAATATTTTTTATTTAAAAATATATTAAAAAATATTTTTTTATTTTTAAAAAAATATTTTTAACATCAACGTATTAAAATGATTTAAAAATATTAAAAAATATTAATTTGAAATAAATAAATAAATAACAAATTTTTAAATGTTTTTAAAAATAATTTTAAAATACAAAATCAAAACAAACAGAAACTTACTAGACACTTCACCGTGGTTTTTCTCACTTAAAAGAAAAGAAAAGAAAACCTTGATTACTAAATTAAAAAAGGCTAAAACATTTCACTGTTGATTGTTAAAATGCTAACCGGCAATAGCTTTTAGTACATGTTAATAATAATTTGGCGCTCTCTCAGCTGAATCCCTTGACAGCCACCAGCTGCAGATCTTCACTTGCAACATTGTTCCCTCAACTCAATGTTGATATAATGGGTAAAAAATAATTTATGAGCTTTTGCTTCTTTAACTCAAATGATAAGGACACAAGATAGTTAATTAGAGATAACAAATAATTAATTCATGAATTAAGAACACGTGATTTGAAGTCATGTAAACAATATTAAATTCCATGTTGATCATAAGGTCTTCAAACAACATTAACTTGGATGAGTTTCGCAGACAACAAATAATAATATAGTGGTCACCACGTTGTCGGAATCTTTGTAATTATTTACTAAAAAAATCCAAGTAGTTAATAGGAAATCTTATATATTAGATAATTAGTTATATTTTTACTTCAACAATTTGATTTATTTTTTTAATTAAAATAATTAGTGGTTAATAACCTCACATGATAAGTTAAGGTAAATAATAGCTTGACATGAAAAATCATGTACTTGTAAAAAACTCTCATATACTTATATCCTTAAATTAATAACTTTATAGGAAAAAAATATAATAATACTTAAAAAAATATATTCTAAAAATATTTATACTAAAAATATTAAAAATAAAATGATTATGAATCTTGAACCTGGTGAATTTATGAGATATTTATAGCATATAAGTCTTATTTTTTATGGAGATAAGAGGTTGAAGAATTATTTTACCTGTATAAATTAACGTAATGTTTTGAATTATATTCTATTCCAAATAATATATATTGAATTAATATAAAATATTGTGTGACCTCCGTGAGGGTTCTAAAAAATTACAAAAAAAACCCTCACGAGATCTTGAAAAAAAAAAAATAATAGTGTGTTAGACTTAAACAAGTTACATGTAGTTGCCAGAAATGAGACATAAATTTAGCCATGTTATACGAGCTCAAAAATGTTAGGTGCTCAAGTTCATAGAGTTGTAGAGTAGCATGCCCAACATAATGGTGGTCACACACCTTAGAAACCAGGAATACCCAGCACTTGAAGTATTGGACTTGGACGCTGTTTAGACCCGTTTCTGTTGGGTTTAACCAAGAGGTTAAGTTCAACGTTGTACCTTTAAACTTGGGAGCTGAATCAATGGGTATGCTGGTTTAGACATGTTATTTGAGCCTGTGTTTTTCAATATTTGACCCTCGCGTGATTTTTTTGGATTTGTTAAAATTAGATTTATTATTTTAAAAAATTAATTAAATTAAAGAAAAAACTAAAAGGCACGAGCTTTTATTTTTGCAATCCACATTGCTATTAATTTTTTTTTTAAAATTAGTTCTCAATCTTTTTTTTTTTCAAATGACTCCTTCCATGTCTAATTTGATGACCAATTCAAAATTTGCCAAGAAAATAAAAATTCAATCATAAGGGATCAAATAGTAAAAAACAAGGAAAACCCATGGTCATTCTAGAATCTAGGTAAAACATTCATTTTCATCCCTTTACTTTCCTTTTCAAACTTAACAATCCCCATATTTTTCTAAAACTTTATCCTTATTCAAAAATTAATTTTTTTTATTCTTTAGTTTCTAGCTAGAGAGGAGAGATGGATAGCCATCTTAAACAATAAACAAAGAAAATTATCATCTTAGTTACAATTGATTTTGATGTTAACAAATTCCATTCAACTATAATAGTTTATATTAGGTGTTATTTTTTGAATTTTTAGGTGTCATTTAACTAATAAAATATTAATTAATTGTAATTTTTTTCTAAGAATTATACACTACAAACTCAATTTTTCTTATATCAAATCTAAGATATTGAGATAAGTATTTTGGTAAATAGTTATTGGAATCCATCATAGCATGGTATGATAGAACAATTTTTTAGAATTCTGATATTTTCATTTGTTTTTATATTTCAAAAATATTTTTGAAAAAAATTGAAATTTTTTTATTTATTTGAAATTAATATTTTTTTTTGATATTTTTAGATCATTTTGATACATAAATTCAAAAATAATTTTGAAAATATAAAAATATTATTTTAATATAATTATAAATAAAAAATATTTTAAAAATAACCACAGACTTACAAATACTTTTTTTTTTTTAAAAAAAGAATGCCTCCCTTCAAACGTTCTCTTAGCAAGACTTCCATCCATCTCCAACGACAAAAATCATGGTGGGAAACCAAAGATCAGAATAAGTAACTAGAAAACAAAAGGAAAACAAAAGATGCCACCTTCCGAGACCTTTACGGAGAATCTAGACA